ATATAAGTCTCGGTCAATTTAATGATATCAAATTATTTTTTATCACAGCGTATATTACTCTGTGAGTCCTTTGATATATATTTGCCAATAGAATTAAAAGACATTGAAGAAGACAAGAATCGGAACACGCTGCATTCCGAATTAATCTCATCCCGATTCAAGATTCTGGCAGTCCCCAAATCCAAATCCGTCGTTTTTCGTTTCACGGATGCATTACGTTCAATCTCTAATCGTCATAATCTAATCTCTGTCTAATCTTCTAATCGAGATAAAGGAATCCCCATGCGATGCATCGACTGCTAATTGGCCTGGAACTTGGAAGCCCAAGTAAAAGGCGGAATACGATGTAACACGTGCTAGTTGTCGGGCTGATTTGACAGCTAGTCGATATTAGAACTTTCCTTGAAACAGTTCAGGCTTAGTCATCGAGGAAGCTTCTAAGGGTTCTTCTAATCTTCGATATCAGCCTTTTCAAGGCCAAGATGTAACTTGAACTCAAACTGCATATCTAATCACTCCCACTTTTCGGTTCCTTTGGCTCACTTTGTCTTTAAAGATAATTTTAACTCTGTACATCTCATTAAATTTTATTTAATATAAAATTTAATATAAAAATAAAAGAAGAAGAAGAAAGAGGAGAATAAGAAAAATTAGAATGATGAAAGAATTGAATGATGATAATGATCAGCGATCGATAATTATTAGATATCTATTTATGTGCATTTTTACGTAGTTATATGTAATGTATACAAGCACGAGCTCTTATCGCGCAATTACGTGTTGAGAAAGAGAAAAAAACTTTTCAAATATCTACATATTATATGCAATCTTTTTAAGTCTTGTTATTTTTACTCCTGCATTTTTGGTTTCTATATTATTTCTAAATGTAACAGACGGATTTGAAATTGATCGAGCAATATATTTTTTATTTTAATTACTCTAAACGGTTTTTACATCATCCATTTGCCTTATCACATCGATTATTCTGTTACGAAGCGCATGCATTTGCATTATCTTTATCTCTTGCGTTTGCAAGAAGAAGAACCCTGGCCACGATAAACGAAAAGGGGATCGAAGTGGCACTCGATATCAAAAAGAAAAATAAATATTCGACAATCTGAGAGAGTCGCTCAAGGGTAGATCGCGTTTATCGCGCTTATGCGCTATAAACGTTCTCTTAGCTTCACATCTACGAGAACAGTTTGTACGTATACTCACAAATAAATTCTCGACACGCAATATCGCGTTCCGTTTCACTTCCGCGCGTCTCAAGTTATGGTCCAGATAAGGCCCGAGACACATTTCGTAAATTATATTGAGGGCGAAAAGAGATTTCTAAAAGGGGCGAACTAATCGATTCTAAAATTTTGGCAAAATTGAGAGCAAAACCGAAGCGGCGAATTTACACAATTTATATTCTAGTTGAAAATTGAACTACATGAAAGAATAAATATATAGGACAATTTTACAAATTAAATATAATAATAAGATATACAATATTAGTACGATACACACGCGCATAAATATATTGTGTACATAATATAGTATATATAATGATAAGTTTAGGGCTTATCGCTGCTGTAGGTAATCATCTTGGTCTGTCAATCACGTTCCTAATGCACGCATATGTGTGTAAGTACACGCCGTGAAACGGATGCCCCTATGTGCCACACTGGTGCACCGCTGTAGCGATTCTCTTATACTCCGAAGCACTCTTGAAACAAAGGGGCTAGGAGGTCCCGGGGAGGCTATAGTGGAAGTATATGAGCTCGTATAAAATGTAAGTACGAGTTTACGCGCGCGAGTGACTGCGAAAGGACGCCAACTGCAACAGACTTATATTACTTATTGTTAGTTTTGAACAGCGCAATTTCAAGCAATGATATTATATTCTGAATTGTATTGTCCCTGGAAGTTGAAAATTATTTTTAAAGCGTTCTACTTGAATGATAGTTATAATTAATTATCAGTAACTCGCTTTATAGAATGTTTCGCTTTATGTTATAAAAATTTTAGAATTCTGTTATTATATCATTATTTCTGTGATTGTGTTTTGAACCTTATATAAAAATATAGTAGATAAAATTTTAAAAGTAATTTCTCAAAATGTTCTTTAACTTTTAAAGAATTATCTATGTGTTTATACTTATAAAGTGTTTACAAAAATATCTAAATTCTATCACAATTTTTTTATGATTTCATTTAATGTTGTATATATCGTAAAATTATATTAGAGATAATTTTTAGAGATAATTTTAGAGTGCGTTATGTTCTTACGGTATTGTCACAATTAGTGACAAACAATTGATAATGGCTGATGCTCAATAGCCTATCGATTATGGAAATCGGTCGCCCCTTTGCGTAGGCTGATATTGTCTTATCTCGGACGGAAGGAACAATGAGAGAATAACAGAGGGGACGCGCGTGAGCGCTAAACGTTAGTCTCAGTGAAGTGAGTGAATGAGTGCAGTCACGATCATTGATCCTCTCGTAAGAAATTCTCTACAGACAAAATTCCCATTTTTGTTCAGGATATTCCAGAGATCAGAATCATATTCCAAGATTCGTCTATTTGAAATCTTGAATATATCGCAAGGAGTCCTCTTTGGCGGTAGGATATTTTTTTTAATTAGAACTTTATGAAAATTCCTCATATTAAACGTTCTATCAATTAAAATTTTCAGAAAGAAAATTCTTCAAAATTCTTCAATCAAAATTCTTTTGTAAAGAATTCTTTATATAACAAATATACCTATAATCTCTTTCTATTATAATTATTTCTATTCTTATTATTTATTTTTAAATATTTCTATTTATTATCTTTTCATAAGAAAGAAATTCATAGTATTATTTTCCAATTCCAAATCTTCTTACATAAATTTTTCTATTAGACAAAAATTAGTATTGTATAATCAAAAAGAACATTCGTCTTTGATTCTACCTCGGAAATTTTCAGTGCACGGCTGTCACTAAATATCGCGACAGATCGATCGCTTCGCGTGATGAATCATTTTTGTGACAGACGAGTGAATGCCTAGTCACGTTTTAACTCCCCTAAACTATATCTTTTTTCCTCCTCCTTTATGTACTAGATAAAAAAAGGAATCGAATTCATTACGACACCCCATGACTGGCGATTTTCGATAGAGCCGCTTTGAATACAGATTTGATTTTTACTCGCTGACATGGACCAAACGGATGTCTTTGTTTAATCCTGCGTGTGAATGACAGTCCGGCTTTATTTCGAAACACTGTTTTTTTTTTAAATATGGGAATGGATCTTCAAATTAATTTAATTTTTATCGAGACTTAATAATTTATAGTTAAATATAATAATTTAAAAAAAAATTTGACATACATATTATATAATAGACTGAAGAAGAATTTTCTTCTGCTGCAATTAGAATTAATTCGCAATGTGCAAATTAATTCGCAATGTGTAAATTAATTAAACGAGATAGATATAGTCGCATCAAAACGCGATAAAAGGTTGTGTTGATCATATCAAAAAATTTCTGCTTCGCCGAGCACTTTTATCCGTGTCAACCACATTTGTGTCACGTACGCAAGGACAATTGAAATGGTTGACGAATTAGGTACTTGTAACTGCAAATCACTGTCGAGGGGGTCAATCAAGAAAAGCGAATGCTGTTGTCAACGCATGCAATCTCGAACGATAAATCATCAAGGAATTGAAAAATTCAATCTTTTTGTAGTATTTCTATTTTTGTAGATGTATTTATAACAAAAATAATTTTTATATAGAAAATAAATCAAACAAAAGCAAATTAAAAAAAATTTTCATAATATAGTTAGAATAATTAAAATTAATCATTCCGATTATATAATAATTTTACAAAATTACACAATTTATCGTTGTTAAGATATTATTTTAAAATGTTATTTTAAATGTTTCTTCAGTCTAAGATTTAATTATTCAGATTTGAAATCACTAACCTTTATTAAATTCACTAGCTCATATACAATCCCCATAATTAATAACTGGTATTTACGTTTCGAGATATCGCTCAACAAATTGCATACCGACGCGGATTATTTGACAGAAACAACGTCTACGATTACCCGAGAGGAGCGAATCGGGTAGCAGTATGAGGTAGTGGATTAATCTTCTCGCTCTCGGTAAACACGAATGGTTTATTTTGTCTACGGTGAGCTGTATCGTACATTGCACCATTCGAACGCATATGCAGTGAGTGGGCTGCTGCAACAGTCGCGCGACTGTGCGCATTTAATGACGCGGCCAATTATTATCGTCTTATTGCTATACCTACTCAAATAACAATATGTTTTGTAATTATAAAAAAAAAAACAGCCATAATTCATTGCTCTTTTGCTTCATTAGGCTCAATAGGAGAAATAAGCATAAAAACAGATTGTTTTACATTAGAATATAATCCACTTCTATCATTAAGTCATTCAGATGAATTTTTTTAATAAAAGTATTATTATGTTATAGTAATAATTACTTTAAATTTTATTATTTATAAAATTAAGAAAACTATTTCAGATATTCTTTTCACTGAACTTGCATTGTATTTTGCAAATATTACAAAAGAAAGGAGTAGTTTTGTTGAAATATCTAAAAATTTATAGCTAGATACAAATTTGAAACTAATTTTATTGAACCATCAGAATAATTATATAGAATATTCAAATTGGTTGCTAAAATGTTAAAACTTTTTGTTACTTTTGTTACTAATTATTATCATTATGCTTAGGTTAATTCTAGATAATTATTTTGATGGTCTATAACAGAATTATTTTCAGATCTCTGTATCTAGTTAAATATCAAGTGACGCGACTCCGAGCAACTCTGAACGACGCAGGGCAAATACTATATAACAAATATATATGGCCATATAAATACTATACATATATATATATGGAATATCTTTTTTCTTTTTTAATAAAAAGTACATATAAATAACAAAATAATATTATGATATTAATTAATAATTTCCTATAATTTTTTGTTTTAGGTGGTCTAAAACACGGGAATGGTGGCGTGGGTAGCGCGAGCAGTTCTAGAAGCACTAGCCCGAGTCAACAACAACCGTCTCAGGGTGGTCTTTCATTTATTCCGCAACCTAGAAGTCAGAATCCGAATCGACAACCCACAGCCACTACGCCGAGGTAAAATACATTAAAAAGATAAATACTTTTACATTGTAATCATGCGGTTATTAATTGTCATTAAATTTTACTATTTGGAGAAATTAAAAATTAATTATTAAAGAATAAAAATTAATGTAATAAAGAAAATTAAGATTAAGTATCTACTAATCACAATGTAATTTATTGTTGAAAGTATTATATATAATTTTAAATATTATTTAAAATGTTTACTTTAGTTAGAAAAACATTTGCGATCTACATTTATATTTTTAAATAATTAAAAAACTTTTGAGATATTTTTTCTGTTTCTAATTTGAATTTTTATAATTTGCAGCCCTCGAGCGTCCACAGTAGGTCGACCAAATGGAGGTTTGAGGACCCAACAACAAGCCTTACCGTATTCTGGAAATACTGTCCCAGCACCTCAGCCAAATAAGAATTCTGTATTGGATAAGTTTAAACTTTTCAATAATAAAGATAAAAATCAAGAACGAGGAAAGACTTCATCGGGAGTTTCAAAACGCACTTCCAGTTCTTCCGGATTTTCTTCAGCTCGATCTGAACATTCAGACAGCTCAACTTCCTTGTGTGATCAAAGTAAAGCCCAAGCTCAGGAATCGCCAAAAAGTCGAGCGTTGAAATCAAAACTGCAATCGGCTAAACCAGCAAAGCAGGCCAGTCCAAAAACAAGCAGAAAGGAGCAAAGCAAGGCCCAAAGTAAGATTGCGCGCACGAGCAAAGGTCCGCCAAGCTCCTCGGAGAAACTAACAACACTCTATAATAATCCGGTTGTAGATCAAGATGTTAAAATTGCTAGTAAAGCTATCAGCACCAAAATATCAAGTGACAGGAAAACATCGACTCTTCAGGAACTGGTAAAGCAACCGGTAGTGCAACCTCCTAAACCAAATCCTTCCGTCCTAACGCCACCTAGACAAATTAATCTTCAAGATACCAAAAACGTGAACTTGAAGAACGAACTTACAGCAACGAAACTTTCACCCCGACCCAAAATGGAGCTTCCAGGCAAGATATCGGATCCAAAAATTTATTTACAAAGTGTAAAACCACCGCCGAATGGTCTGAACAAAGATTTTATGATGCAGAAAGCTATTCTGGCAAATACCAACGGTATTATTAAGCCATCCGAAACGGGGGAGACTCTTGTTCATGAGAACGATACTTTTAATCGCACTCTAAGCATGAATCAGGCAAACCTATCAGATGGCAAGGATCTTACGGCAAAACAAAAAGAACCAGAAGTGTTAGAAGTTAATCGCGAACAGCAATCGGAGATGGAAAGTTTTGGTTCATCGAAGACTCGAGTATCAAGTCAGGAGAAGGTTATTTGTGAAGAAGAAATAGAATCTATCGAAACTTCCAATAACGATAAACAAGATTCTATGACAATTAATTGTGTTAACTCAGTAGCTGATGAAAAGACTGAAGACGGACTAACGAGTATATCCACGCAAAACAATCTGAACTTTGGGTCCAGTAAACCGTTAGCAAGTTCGAATAGTCCTCTTCACGGTCCGAACCCGGCCGGGCTTAGTCCGGGTTCCAGCATCCCGAAACCTACTGCTCTTGTGAAAGGCACATCGAAACCATCGAAAGACAATAGCACGCTCAGCGGAATGCCAACGCCGACAAAGCCGAAGAGCGGCGATACTCTTCATCGCAAACTCGATCCTAATACAGTAGCGATGGTGTCACCGATGCCGAGTATTTCGGATCTTATGTCCGACAGCTCGCATAGCAATTCTAACAGCACCGGGCAGAGTAATTCGAGCGATAGTAGTGTGATTTATAGGCCAAGCAGTGAGAGCGGTAGCGAAATTAAAACGATTCCTAACCGGAAGATCGACACTACGTTTGAACAAATGGAAAAGGTCAGTTTTAGAATTTTTCTTAGATGATGGCTATCAAATAAAACTGGAAGATATAATCATAATAATATCTATACAAATATTTATAAAATTGTTCGTTAATATACGTTTAATAATCATAAATACATCAAAGAAAAGTTTTAAAAAATCCTTTGAAAGAAACTTGATAGGTTCTTGATTTATAATTATTATTTTCTTAAATTTTAGATTACTTTTTTAAATCTTAGATTTTTTAAATTATTTTCTTAGTCTAGATAATTCTAAAATCTCTTTTTAAAATGTTTTTTTTTTCTTTTTCGCTATATTAATTATCTTCTCCAATATAAAAATGACTAAATAAACTAAACCAAATTTAAGATATAAATTTAAGATATGTCACAGGCTATTCAAAATCGAAGTAAAATTAAATTTAAAGTTTGATAGATATGAAAATTAAAATAAAAAATAAAAAAAAATAATTTAAGTACGTCTTTTATTTTCGTTTTTCTTTTTGAAGGTGCTGTCGGAAAATTCGACGTGCGGTGGTGCTCTAGCAGACGATGAAGCCGAGATGACTGTAAAACCTATGCAACCTCTCCTGCGCGGGTACACGCCTGGGGCCCGGGGCTTACAAACTCTACCGAGCCGTACTACGGCACGACAGTACACCGTCTTGCATTCATCGTCGCATCATCATGTTGGTAATCACCACGATTACGCCGACGTAGACGTCGCTTCTGGTTATCTGAGCGACGGTGAAGTGCTGCGTGGAGGTGGCATGAGTGTTGGCAGTAGAACTCTTTCGGATCTATGCGACGGATACATGTCTGAGGGCGGCGCATCCCTATACGCTCGCAGGATCAATCCTTCTTATGGAAGGATTGATCACGATCATGACAGGTAAAATCTAATCTTCTAATTTTTCTTTATTTTTTCGAATATATGATCGGAAAATATCAATAATTAATTAAAATTTTATTCTTGATAAATCATTTCATGAATTTATAATATTTTAATATGCAGGGAAGACCGGGTCTAGGTGGGTACCTTTTTCTTCAATTGCAATTTTCAACAATAACAAAGTAAACGATTTTAGTCAAATAATTATTAGCGTTTTATAGAGTAATTATAAGACTACAAGATGGCGATAAAAAGTTTTAGTGTTTGCAGCTTTATTTTATCCATATACACAAAAAATGTGATTCGAAAAATAAAATCTCAAAAATTACTTTTGACTATCAAATTACTTTTGAAAACACGTTTGACTGCCTAAACGTAATAAAACGGCGGCGCCTAAACTAATCAAACTTCGTTAGTAAAGAAAACACGAAATGTCATCTACAATATAAATTGGGAACTTATAAGATATATTTTTACCACTCAAAATTCAAATGCCAGCTTAGCCCGGTCTTCCCTATATAATGATACAGAAATTATGCGTTTCGCGGGTTATCTCCGTGTCCAAAACCATTCTAAGAATGGATAGAAATGAAAGAGATAACCCGTACAAGTCTCAAGAGTATTATGATATTATAATCAAAGCATTATTTTTTTACTACCAGGTAGTATCAATTTATTATCATAACAATTATTATTATTATCATTATATATGTATATATATATATGTGCATGATAATAACAATAATTATTGTAATAATAAATTAATATTAGTAATAACAAGAGAATAGAACATAATCTGCTATAATGTAACACGTTTAAAAGTAATGCTGTTTTTAAATTTCTATCAATATTGTATCAAACTACTGTCGAGATTTCAGAAAATCGATAACAAATCAAATTGTTGCAAGAAAAAAATTTAAAAAGCTTTGCCAGAGTTGAACTTTGCAATTCATGGCACGTGCGAGGTGTGCGTCGCGAAAGTTTGCTGGATTGCTGATCGTATGGATTATTTTTTATCGAATCAAATATGGATGAAGAAAGTGCGAAAATATACGACGTTTGCCCGCGCAAGAGAGCGACGATAAATTAACGCCGCGTAGTCTACGCCGAGCGCGCGTCGAGTATTGATCAAGAAAGCTCGGGTCTAAGCCTCTCGCGAGCTTTTCGGTGAAAAGCCCGTCACCCTCGCGAAGTCTTACATCTGCCAGTCTTCGATGCAACGTATATAAATCTTCGTTAAAATTATTATTAAAATAAATAAAATGCATTTACGATTATTATCTCGCGCCATAATATAAATAGAATTTTTTCATAATAGAATTAATATAAAAAATGTTTAGTACTAAATAATTATATAAAATTAATTGTTGTCATATTATGTGAAAAATTATTTAATCTTTCTTAGTTAATTTTATTTTATTTATAATTCTCGTTCGATTAAAGATTATAACTTTCTACGTTCTAAGTGCATTTATAGAGGCACTTTCTATTTTAGACAACGTTTAAATGTTGTCCGGTACACAAAGTGGATTCGTGACTCGTTCATTACGCTCTCCGCCACGCCCGTGCCGTTCTCTTCGTGTTTGCAACGAAATACTCAAGTTTGACCGAGAGAGAGAGAGAGCTTTATTATTAGCAAAGCTCTGGACTGTGTACATTCAAATTAAGATTTCAAGTAGTAAGCCGAATTCATTAGAGAAATGCGGAGACGAAGCATAGGTATTCTTCTACAGCGCAGAATATATTTTCTTTGTAATGATCATATGCACGTGTATTTTTTATTTTTTTTTTTTAATTTCTACACATCTACTGCAGCACTATAATATTTCGAATCTAATACTGAATTTATGTCATCACCAAATCCACCACTAAATGTCCTTTTCCCTTAAGATAATTATATTTTTTGAACCAATTAAAATTTATGTTTGATTTGATAATGAAAAATTGTACTTTTGGTAATCTATTCGCGCTGTTCGCAGCTCAAGCGTTGCTTGTGAGAAAGATATGACTGCCACGAGAGATGTAACTAATTAGACAAAATTCACGAGGTTAATCCCGGAAAGGACGCTTTCATTTACTCAGCGCTTCATGGGCCACTTTTACCACGATCGAATTAAAGCATGGTCAATCATTCGATTAATCCGAGAAAACAATTTTCTCCATATAAATATCCACCGCTTCATCAAAATTCTATTGCTGAAATTAAAGTTTGTGAAGTAAAGAACTTATTGAAACCTGCATAAAATGAAATCTGAAAATTATTAATGATAAAAAGATATATAATGAAGAGAATATACAAATAGATATTTTGAAAAATATTTTCAGAAAAATCAGATATTCTTTTATACAGTGCCTTTGAAATTTTGGTTTAAAAAATTTTTTATCCTTTTTGATATATTGAATATTTGAAAAACATAAAAAATTAATTTCGTTCTGGAGAATAGGTATATTTATTTCTTTAACATAATATGTACTTATAAAAAAAATAATATGTCTTATTTTGATTATAATATATAATATTTAAATTTCAAAGCTCATTATAATCGCGTGCGAAGAGGAACACTCAAATATATTTCGTTATTTAATTAAATGCATATTTAATAATTAAGAAAGAATTTTACTCAGGTAGTATCATGCACAATACAAGATGTTGTTTGCCATCATACGCTGTAGAAACGCGCCTGAAGGTATGGCGGATCCCTTCGCCTAACTTGCTTCGGCATAATCGAGCCCGCGGCGCGTATCATCCGCTTGAAACTCGACGCGCTTTTCAGAAATTCAATATACTCAGTCCTGAAATCCTTCCACGACCCTCATCACCATCATCGAGGAAAGCTCCGTACAATCTGCAACAAAGACGTTTGGCATATTCCGACGATTATCGTACGATCTTGCGAAAGCTTTCTCTTGCTATCGAGAAAACTTGTCTAAATATATATTTAAAGATAAAAGGATTGAATACAGGAGCTGTATTTTATACATATATATATTTAGACAATAATTTTAAAAAAGAACAGTACTTTCGTCAGAATATTTCGTTTGTGATAAATCGTATAGTATATTATACATATAACAAAATGTATTGAGAATTACTGACAATGATTTCTGCTATATTGTTTAGTAATATCAGAATTATTTATTAATATTTATTATAATTGATAATATACATGCACCATATTATTCGACATTAAAAATATCAATTCACGATTGCGCCTTTGTCTTTTTCACTTTTTAAATTATTTTACATATTTTTTTTAAATTATCTACTGTATAAATAATACACAATAATTTAATAATCTCTATTATACAAATGAGTCTTTTAAATAATGAATTTATAATGATTATTAATTTTAATATTTTGTTCTATTGTAATCATATCTATTTTTTTATCAAAATTTTATTTGTTTCCGCCTTTTTTATACATATAATAAAAATAATTATTCTTCTTCAATTTTAGCTTACTTATAACGTATTTTCCTTTTATTTTGATACACAGTGGTGTATTATATTTGCTTTGATATCACAGTTACCATTGATAACTTTCGGTTATGTCCTTTGAAGCGGAAACATACGCTCGCATTTAGCGTATGTTCCCGCTATATTCTCGGATGCGCGGCACGGGCGGAGCGAGACATGGCAAACCAGGCTGTTACATATAGCGTATGCAAAAAGATAAGCGCTTTTGTCCGTCCTGACAGCAGCCTCTCAGCATTGTCCTGCGACTCCTTTCCGCACTGTAGAAGCTGATTGTGATGTGACACATGCCTTTTCCTCACCCTCGTGCATTCTGGTGATGAGATGATGATACCGCATATTGATTGTTGAAATAGTCATGTGAGTTTTTAATTTTGTATCCTTTAAAATAAAATCAGTTGCACATTTATGTGTTGGAAAGTGAATAATAAATCTAGGGAAATATGATTTATTATGGTGTTCACATAATGTGTGTGTGTGTGTGTGTGTGTGTGTGTGTGTGTGTGTGTGTCCAATTTTTTAAACGTTTATCCCATTTATCCTATGTAAATATTTTGAAAAATATGAAAGATATGAAAAGCTATTTCAAATAAAAGTTATATATGGTTTGTGAAAAGGGATGAATAATAGTAAAATTAATTTTTAAATAATCTCAATCAATTTTCAAATAATTAATTTTACATATTAAATTGTATTATTGTCATTTTTTTTAATGGAATTCTATATAATTTTTTAATATATTGTAATTCTTTCAATTATTTTGCATATTAAATTATTTAAATAGAAAAGTATTTAAATAGAATTTTTTTTAAATCAATAATTTTTAAGATATTTTAATATTTCATTTTGATATATTTTGATATAAAATATAAAATGTCTCGTAAATTATTAATTTTTTGATAATTCTATTTTAATACTTTTATTGCAAAATAATTAGAGAAATTATATTACATTAAAAAATTATATATTTCATTTTTTTTATGGTAATGACCTTAGTACAACTTAAAAAAAATTTGTTTTTTAATTAATATTATTATTTATTCTCTTTTATTTCATACAACTTTTGTTTGAAACGTTTTTCATATCTTTCAGGCCTTTTGAAATACATATTTACTGGGAGTATTTAAATGGAGGCTTAAACGAGATATCCTGTATTCTATGTGAATCAAAAAATCATATTCTTTATACTTACTACTCATCTTTCAATACATAAATGTGTAACTGATTTTATTTTAAAAGGTACAATCAAAATTTTAAAAACTCATGCATATGACTATTTCAGCACGCGCAATAATAAATTTCAATTTTTAGAATTTTCTCCATATCCCATATCTGGTGGTTAAATAATTGTTATTTTTTCTATTTTTTAGAGGATCCCATGAACAGTTTTCATGGTTAATGAAAAAAAAAAACAGTTTCATTGATTAATTTAGATTCTGCATCTAGACTAAAAATGACCTTTTTTCGCACCTTCCTTTATATGCCAGAATATTACAGATTATTATATGATCTTCTTTCTTTCTTCGAACATTTAGGTATATTTTATTGCCATAAAAATGTGAACATAATTAGAGACTCTTTAGACACTTCTCAGAACGCAAGGTCCATTCATCTAGTAGACGAATCGTGGCGGAGACGAAACGAACAATATTTATTCGCAGCAGTTGCGACGCTTGCGTGGACGCCGTGACGTCATGACGATCGATTCGACGTCGCTGCGCGGTGGCGCGATCTGACGGTGTCGGTGTGTTATTTCCAGGGCGGTTCGAGGGGTTGTCTCGCGGCGGGGTTGCTTTCCCAACGACGGAGGCAAGAGAGTACGTGCTGAACCGCCGAGGGTGGGGAGTGTCGTCCTCATCGACGTCGATGTCAAATATACGCAAAGTTACCGGTGATAATTTTCATTTCGGCTTCGTTTGCGATGAAACCGTCGCTCGGGGTAGTTTCTTTTGATTTCCTCGGTGTGACAGTGTCCTAAATAGCAAGGGTGGAAGACCAAGAAAGATATTCGGAATTCGTTGGAGGAAACGCGGCGGCTCAAGCTGAACGGTAATCTCGTGTTCCTGTTTGTTCAAAGCTTTCTACCGGCTTGAAACGTTGACTACAGGGATGAAGACGGGGTGTGGAAGATGGAAAAATTGGAAGGGCTTTTAAATGGCATGAATATATCAATCGCGTTTTCTCAAGCAAAAAGTATTTCAGCGTTTATTTGTGATGATAAAGAAAGTTTAATCAAAATTTTTTATTAATTGAAATTCAATAAAACAATATTAAAATCACTTTCTTGTCTTTGTATTCCTTGTTATAATTTCTAGGTGTAGTTTATGACAAAAAATAGTACAAATTTGACACACTATATACGTCGTTTCCGTAATAAATAAAACTTGAGACTTGAACCTTAAAACTTGAGATATCTACTTTTTTAGAAAATGGAAACTATTTAATATTTATTGATTATTATTATTTTCAATCCATTATTTCTGAATCTTTATAATAGTAATTTAATAACATAATCCGATATAATATTATTACAATCCGATTAATACAATCTGATATTTATCTAAGTTTTTTTTATTATATGCTGTAGCTATTTTACTTTTGCGATAGTTATTTTCTAAAAGATTCATCTCCAAATTTTAGTTACAAACTTTGCGATGATTAAAATCGCACGAGTTTCTCACAAGATAGCTTCTCTGTGTACACAGAGGAAGATATTTTTTTTTCTTTGCCAAATTCTGTTATAGTATATAAGATAATATCTCGAAGTGTTAGATGTGACGTTAGGGCTCGATGAAATTCATGCTCGTCGCGATGTTAAAAGATCATGCTTTGTTATAAAGGCAGATCTTTTAATATTTGTTAAAATTTTATAAATCATAGAATTCGATTTGCAAAAAATTAATTCGTTAAAAGTTGAAGCACTAAAAATTAAAAAATAAATTGTAAGGAATTTATTTTCTAAAAAATTATCCTTTTTTTCATTAATTTATGATTGTTTTCCTCTCCTCCTCAATGATAAATTAAATTAAACTTCAGTATAGTACTATGATTACAATGACATCCTAGGAAAGTCAGAACTTTGTTTCTTGCGTTCACAGATGATTTTCGCTTTCCTTTCTCGGATTTGTCCTCCGTCTCTGGCAACTTTTTAATTATTGATGCTAATTATTCTTGTAATCAAGAAGTTTCACGAGTAACGAATTCAAGAAATGACATTTGAAGTTTCAGTTTATAGTCTAAGTTTCTTGTAAAAGCAAAGTTATGCACGCATACTTGACAGTTCCGCCACTAGTTAGGAGGTTTTCTGCAAATATTTAATCAAGTGATCAGCGAGCTCTTTGATCACGGAAATGATACAATTCAAAAGCTAATGCAACAACAAAAATTCTGATCACTATTAATGAAAGAGGCCCAGTTTTTCATTTTCTAATTAACTTATGGTTCAAGCTCAATCTCTTTTAACTTGTTAATATAAAAGTTATGTTTTTTTTAGCAATAATTAAATACCAGATGAATGGTTTTGTAGCTTTAAAAGTCTCTCACTACAAAACTATCGATTTAGCTATAGCAAGAAGAATACAATTTTTACATTATCAACAGGTTAAGTTTAACCACAAATTAATCAGAAAATGATAATGCCATTTCTACCAATGTAGATTCACTTTAATCTCAACTCAACTTATTATCTTTTTCTAATTTTTAGAACTAAAAAAAGATGAAGAGTTAAATCGAGATAAAAATTAAACTACTTGGTGAAAATGAGTATACGTTTCTTACAGTTTACTATGTCAGCTTAGCACATTAAAATTTGAAAGTAATAGATAAAAATAATAATCTTAAAATCAAATTTTGCTTAAAATAAAACAAAAAAATTATTATTAAAAAAAATTAATACATTCTTGTATAATGTGTAGCTTAATTGAACTTGTTTTAGAAATGTAATAATTATGAAAATAATGAAAAAATTTAGAATTTAATTGCTCAGATTTGAATGATTGGAATTTTATTTGATAAGTTGCATGAAACGTTCATTATTATTAAGGAAACAGGAGAACAAAAATTCTTCTTTTTTAGTAAATACTAATTGAGCAGATTTCAGTAATTACGAGACCTGATGCTGACTTATGATCGCACTCAAGTTCTTATTTCTATATACTTTCGCCGAAATTTAATTTAACTTTTTTTTTCCTCTCAAAATGTCGAGCTCATGAATCAGTTTGGTCCTCCGACTTAGTGTCGAGGTTAAGCACATTTTTTTACGAGGCGCATTAACCCCCGACTGGTCGTTGTAAGAACCGTTAAAATAACGATCTCAACCTAAAATGGCACGTGTAATATAAATTTATAGAACTTGCTATAAAATAACGCAAGAGTTTCATCGTGAACATGTTTATTATTTCTTTTTTCCTCCATACATCGGTAATTTTAATTCTTCCTTGAGAAAGATAGAGTTTCTACTTGATATTTAAATTCAGTTTATTTGTAAATTAGTAGTGAGAATAATACGGAATGGATGAAGAAAGAAATTAGTACGTAAACATCGTCGAATTATTTGAATTATGGATATATACACATATTTATATGAATAAAGTACTCATAATATTTCACATAATAAAACACAGCATCTCTATTACGCAAAAGCTCGCGATACAAATTGCGAGGACAATTGCGGGAAAAATATCCGTAGACAATTCTCGCATGTTGCACAAAAGCAATAGAACCCTTCTCTTGGGTGTAGAATTAATAATTATTATTATGATTTACGTGCAGAGGACACGTATCGCTTCCGCGCCAATATACGGACACCACATTAAAAAAAAAAAAAAACATTTACGTGTGTCGTGCACCATAAATCCGAATGCTGAATAAAACCATTATATTCTCTCGTGCCATCGTATCGTCGCACGTTTTTTTCTAAATGCCAAATCAACAAAAGTTGTTGCTTCAATCAAGTTATTTAATTTTTAGTTTCTATTAAAAAAGATAATGTAATACATCTCAGACAATGCAAGTTCTTTATTAGTGTTCTTTTTTTACATTACAGTTTAAACAACGAAATAGTAGTGATAGAAAAATAGAACAAATATATTTTACATGCAGAAGTTTATGCAGATTAACCAATGTTTTCTGCTTGGAAAAAATAACGTCGGCGTAGAAAAAGTTTGTGCAAAAATAGAATAATGAGAGATTCATAGCGTAATAAAAAAAGACCATCTAAAACGATCGTTGAATATATTTTTGCTTTAGTAATGATCGTTAGTTGTCTGTGAGAATCTCAAGAAACAAAAATACAAATACAATTTTAGCACATTGTACGAGTACGATTAAACCATTATTCTGTATTCCGAGTATAATGATAATGATACGGTAGAAGAAACCAACGCAAAGTTCATACTGAGTTCATAAAAGAAAATTATTTTAAATAATTACAAAAAAGCAAACACTTCTTTTAATATTAAAACTATTTAAATTACCTTAAATAATTATATATTTCTTCTATAATGATAATGTACATTGAATGCACGTTGCACAAATAAACGAACTAAAGTTTTATTGCATTGTACGATTAAATAGTCATTATTTTTCGGATAATAATAGCGACACTTCATTTACATTGATTTGTAGATACGTAGGTGGCTCGCGGCGAGAGCTGTCGGGGGTGAAGGAACTGGTGACCTCGAGGCGGGTGCAGAAGAATCGGCCGTCGGGGATCGCGAGGTCGGATGGCGGCTGCATCGGGGGCGTCAGTCCGGGAAGCGGTGGCAGCGGCGGTGGCAGCGGCGGCGTCGGCG